GTAAACATTAAAAGTACAACTGCAAACATATTGAGAAAAAATGAATGCCCACATGGCTGCATAATTAGTATAATTAAGGTTTGAAAACCAAAAGGACAAAAGTGGAAAGAAAGAGAAATAACCAAGGAATCATTTTCTTTATGACCTAGGAATGCCTCAAAGAAGCTTGGAATTATAGAAATGTTAGAAAAATTAAAAGCTGAGAAGCAGCTGATAAATGATACATTTAAGAACCAAAAAGGTTGTATATTCAAAAGGAAAAGAATGTATCAGCAATTCAATCAAGACAGGAAAATATTAACTGGTGATAAAAGGTAGAATTTCTGACAGAGAAATAAAAAGAAAGAAAGAAACAAAGAAATAAATAAAAAAAGAAAGAAAGAAAAACCCTGCATAAAGATTTTAAAAGATGAGGCCATCTCAGTTCCCTGAGCAGCAGGTTCATTCCAGATCATATCTGCAGTAGTGTCATAGATCTGGACTCACTCAATATTGTCATCTAATGCAGATTGCTGTACATGTGAAAGCTTATTAAGATAATAGGATTATTCAGAAACATTCAGCAACAGGTCAAACTGAAGAATACACACACACACACACACACACACACACACACACACACACTGAATGCAAAAATAGAATAGTAGCACTGTACTATTGGGGCTCTAAAGTCAATAATTAAACTTACACATCTGGCAGGGGAAATGTCCTGTTAAAAGCATGAGCGCATATAAACGCATGTGTCCAGAAGATTTAGGCAATGGTGTGTTACTGGAAATGTAAGTGGCAGTTTTAACACCATGCTTCCTTACTCTCTTTTGAAAACTGCTGAAAGAAAACAGCAATGAAAATAAGCACTGTTAGCCTGGAAGCTTTATCTATCCATCTTATACATTGTGCCTTATAAATACAGATATGTAACACTATATTGGTAATTTTTAATAGTGTATCTAAAGAAAGTTTAAACCTGCAGTCCTCTATATATCCAACCAGTACATGGTTTGTTAGGAACTGGTCTGCACAGCTGGAGGTGAGTGGTGGGCAAGCAAACCTTCATCTGTATTTGCAGCTGCTCCCCAGCACTAGCATCACCACCTCAGCTCCATCTCAGGTCATTAGGCATTATATTCTCATAGCACAAACCCTACTATGAAATGTGCATAGGGGAGATCTAGGTTGTGTGTTCTTCCTCCCGCTCTCCCAGTCCATGGGGAAATTGTCTTCCATAAAACCAGTCCTTGGTGACAAAAAGGTTGGGGAATCCCTGTTCTAGGATATATAGTATAGCTATATGCAAAGATTTAGCATCCTAGTCAAAATTGTTCAGAATAAAGAAACTAATACTGAAATGCTAGATGCTGATTGACAAGGGAGTCTCCAAAAGAATGTACAGCTTTGGATGTAGTCTAAACTGATAAAAGTATGTTTTATGTTATAAAGTATTTTCATGTTACATTTCATGTTTCGTTTCATTTTATGTTCTATATAGTTGGAGATTTGTCACAGAAATAAAAAAAGATTGTGACATACAGTTACAATTACAATTTGGGGGGAAGGTGGGGAGGAACAATTTTGTCCAAAACAGATGGAGCCCAGTCTCCTGAGCAGACAAGTCTCAACCAAGAGTGAGTCTCAAACGTTGCTCATAGATTTAATCTCAGAAGTATTTTTCTATTGGAAGCATTCAGTGCTTAATTTATATTTTAGTCAGATCCACTGCAAAAAAAAATGTAATTGATTAAAAAGAAGTTATTCAAATACTTCATCCAAGGAAAAGTGCTTGTCAATGTGAAAAGAATATAAATTAAGCAATATGTTCATTAGTAAAACATGAAGTTGCCTTCCTGTCAGTATTGCCAATATTATTTGGCCTCTAGTATTAGAAATAGATTAATCAATGAGAAAATGAACACAATTGTGTTATTGAAAATACACATCTATTATTTGAATAATATTGTTGTTCTGTTACTCGAAGTCTAATGTTGCTTTTCAACACCTGATAAAAACTGATTTTTTCCTTTTAAACGGGAGTCTGGAGTATCATAGATGATTGAGGTTGGGATAACCATGTCCTGTAATTTTTAAATCATATGTATTATATACATTTTATGATACACATTTGAATTATAAATGTAATAATGTAATATATACCTTAAAATTTCAAATAAAATTAAAACTTGCTTAGCTTGAAATACATCAATTGAGCAGAAATGTAATTGCAAACTTCAGTATAAAGTAAATAAACAGTATAAAAGCTTTCTGTGCTGAAAACGAATAATAATTTTTAAATTATAATTAAAACAGCTTAAATTTTGTGACAGAAGCCAAAAGACCAGGTGACTGGCATGCATGCACACGCTAGAAACTAGAAGCTCAGCTTCCCAGTGCATGCATGCACGCCAGGCAACTGCTCTTCTGGTTTTTGGTGCTCCCAAGCATGCACGCCGGGAAGCTGCTCTTTCAGTTTCTGGTGCTCCCCTGTGCTGAAAAGGTTTGCCAACACTGCTTTAAACATTTCTGAATATGGATACTCCAGATTAGCTCCGCTCCAAAAATATATGGAATGAATTACATTTATAAAAAGTTAAACTATATCATATATAGATTCAGCTTGCTTATTATCAGGTGCTTTCCTTACAATTTTTACTAGACAACCCATGATTCACTGGGTCAACATTTCAGAGAGATTAATTCCTTACCAGATTCTTCAATGCCTTCAATAATGGCAGAGCTTCTAATGCAGTTGAAAAGTCCTTAAAAATTCAGAGAGATATTCAGAGATGTATCTGCCTTGTGGTCACTGTTGAACTGTAGAACATCAGGAGTTGACCACAAGTAATGTTTAATCACAATTTTTATTATGTCACACACTTTTATAATAATTTTTAGATCATAACATGTTTTATAAAATTCACCAAATTTCAATTTTATGGGAGTCATAATTCTTAGTTTTTGGACACATTCGGTAACTTAGCTCATTTGAGGTATCTTGGTTGAACACGTTTTGAAAGGCAGTGTGGACTGGCACTGGGGATACTCAAGTTCAAATTCACTTTAACAATTTACAAATTTACACTGGGAAACTAATTTATCAGGTTGTGGGGTAAAATGGAAAATGGGAGGGGTGCTATGCCACTTCGAGTCCTGAAGGAAATGTGGAATATAAATTAACAAGCTAATAAAAACACGGAAAAGTATCTCTAAAATACATACTATTAAAAATGGATTACAATAATTATAAAAGGCAATCCGAAATAAAGTAAAATGCATTATAGGTAGTCCTTGCTTAGTGATCATTGTAAAACTGTAATGAAAAACTTTTAGACCAATCTTGCATTTATGATCTCTAGATCTGAAAAGCAAAAGAAAGCTGAAATAAGACCATAAGCACACGCAGGTTTCAAGTAGAATTGTTTCATCTAGTGACCTAGTTTCCAATTGTAGCTAAAGGAGGACTACCTGAACATAGCACATTGTGTTGCTGAACTCAGTTGTTAGGCTTGGCTTGTACTTCAAAGTGTTATTTAAATGGAGAATTTAAGTTGAATAGACTATGATTAAATAGACTACAGACAGACATTGTGTGACTGTAGCCAGAGAAAAGCACTTTACTTAAGGGATAGTTTTCAGTAACCTGAAGCGCATGAAGGCCCAACCTCTGTGACCATTTCCCGCAAACCTCTATAATAAAGCTGAAATCCTCTGTCTTATGTTTTGTATTGCTTTTTGGTTTAACATATTTTTAGCAATTGTAAACCATCCAGAGTGTCTGGGAGTCAGGTGGCATATAAATTTAATAAGCTATATTATGATCATATCTAATGATCTAAGTGCCAGAGCCCACTGTAACAACATTACCAAAATGGTATTATGAGTTGTTAACCTAATCTTGCGTAGCTTCTTCTTTGGCAATATTGTACTGCTAACCAGAGCGTACAAAACATTTGCTAGACCAATTCTTGAATACAGCTCATCTGTCTGGAACCCTTGCTGCATATTGGACATTAATACAATTAAGCAAGTCTAGAGATATTTCACAAGAGGAGTCCTCCACTCCTCTGCTCGCAACAGAATGCCTTATGCCACCAGACTTGAAATTTTGGGTTTAGACAACTTAGAACTACACCGCCTTCAGTCTGACCTAGGCATAGTACATAAAATTATCTGCTACAATGACCTGCTTGTCAATGACTACTTCAGCTTCAACCACAACAATATAAGGAGCACACGATAGATACAAACTTAAGGTAAACCAGTTCAAACTCGATTGCAGAAAATACAACTTCAGCAACAGAGTGGTCAATGCCTGGAATGCACTATCTGACTCTGGTTTCTTCCCCAAACCCCCAAAACTTTAACCTTAGAGTGTCTACTGTCGACCTCACCCCATTCCCAAGAGGTCTGTAAGGGACATGCATAAGCGCACCAACATGCCTACCATCCCTGTCCTGATGTTCCCTTTTTATTCATATCCATTTCATGCATTCAAAATCATGTTTATACTTATATGTTATTTAATACAAGCTTGATGAAATAAATAAATAAAATAAATAAATGATCTTCCTTGGAAGCAGGTCACACAGAACAAACGCAATGTGGCCCACAGAGCAGACAACTGCATTGCACAAGAAAGAGTTAAAAATCTCAGCCCTCTATTAAAGTGAAGCGTTTTCCCTATTGGGATGGAATTACTAATTTCACAATAAAATTAAAGACTCTGCTGGAGAAGACGGAAGAGCTGGTGTGTGTGTGTGGGGGGAATGCTTTCTCTTCCATTGAGCCTGCCCCAAGTGTTCGAGCCCCACGACCAGGGCTATGGCATACATAGGGGGCATTGGTTCAAACGACTTAGAGACTTCCTCCCTCGGCTGTTAAGGAAGAGGTGCGCGCGCGTGTTATTCAATCGGCTCCGGCGTTTCCCTCCCTGAGCTGCCTTAACCAGCCTGCCCTGGCGCAGCTGAGGCGACGAACAACCTTGGGTGGTGCGGAGTGCTCTAGGACCCAGGGGAACACGGGCAGCCAGGCTCTGGGAGCCAGATTGCAAATTCTTCTCCGTGACTCAGTCGGCTCCGCGCAGCGCATAGTAGGCGGCAGCGGCGGCCGAAGCGGAGACTACCGAGCAGCAGGTCCGTCCGGCTCGCGGGAACAACGGGCCGAGCTTAGGGAGGGGGGCTGGGCGTGGGTAACGAAGAGGACCGGAAGGACCGGGCGCCGCGCTTCCCTTCTAGTTTGGGCCTAGCATCACCCGCCGCGACTGCCGCTAAACGGCGGCTCCTGCCTGTTGTCTTTGCAGAGCGCCAAGATGGAGTATGAGTGGAAACCCGACGAGCAGGGGCTTCAGCAGATCCTGCAGCTGCTCAAAGAATCGCAGTCCCCGGACACTACAACGCAGAGGGCCGTGCAACAAGTATCCTGCACAAGAGGAGCCGGGCAGGGGCAAGCGGGCGGGCCAGGCCGGCACCGGAGATAGCGAGGCCCAGCGGCTGGGTCGGTTTGCCGCATGACTCCGAATCCCGCAGGAGGCGGGGAAGGAAGGGCTTAAGGCAAAGCGGGCCGCTCCGCTTTGTCGTTTGGGGGTGAGGGAGAGGAGGGTTAAAGCCCTGGAGAGGATAACGGCCTCTGGGCCTCCGCTAAGGCGACCGGCCGTAGCGGTAATCCAGGCCCAGCCCCCGCCTGGCCTGGCGCGGGCTTTGAATCGCGAAGGAAGCTTGTAGGCAGCGGCGGCGGCGGCAGCCAAGCCTTCGCTCTGCCTCCCCCTCCCTGCGCCCAGGCCCGGCACCTGTTGCGAGTCTGGCGCCAAACCCCGTTTTTCTTTACAAGGCTTGGCCCGCCTTTATCAGCTCCGGTGTCGGTCGCTTTCCCAGGCTCTCGCTCGGCCACTCTCCTTGGGCCTGTGTCTCAGGCTGGTCATAGTGGAGCGGCCATCTGTGCCATTAAATTCCTTTCCGAAAACCCCTACTGGCTCCTTTTCTCTCGAATGATCTTTGCCGATCATCTAGAAACCTGGCAGAATTAAGTCTTTTAGCTATCTCTTTCTGTTGGGACATTTTAACTTATATCACCCTGAGCCATCTGTGAGGTTCTTCTTGTTGGCCCTTCAATTTCATACTGATCATATTCAGGATAAGGAAAATAATAAACGAATTTTTAGGCTTCTTAAATCGTTTTCCTTTGGTGTATTGAGTCTTTGAAGGCAATAGAGAAGTGAGTGAAGCATTAAGTTTCTGTATATAGAAAATAGTTGTAAACTATGCATAGTTTTTGGTAATTGCTGAAAGTATTCACATCAAAGAAGCTTGCTGTTATTTGTTTTAGACTTGTAGTTTTTACATGTTTTTGTATATGTAGAATTTTAAGATCTAAATTGTTTTTGCTGCTCCATTTTGGTACAAATTAGATGTAAATGCATCTTCTGTATCAGTAATTATACTGTGCATTTTGTTTGTGCATGCATTTTTAAAGCCAGGTAATTTAATTTAAAAAATTACTTAATGCTAATTAGGGCATCTTTAAATTTTTAGTTTTTACTCCTGCTAAATAAAATTCCATTTGAATAATCTCACATCCTAAATAATTAGTTTAAAATGAAATTTAAGTGTAAATATGAGAGTGAATACACAGGAAAATACAAGAGTATGAAAATATCATCTAGACATTCTCCCATATCATATGGTATGACTTATTATTTACCATTTTTCTTTTTTCTAGCATATATTCCTTCGGCTGTTGATGGGAATACAAAATTAGTAGGATTTTGCAAAGCTTTACAATATGCTTATTAAAATGCTTGTGCCTGCATAACCATATGAAGAAAGCTAGAAGAGCTGTTAAAACAACTTTGCAAAAGACATGGCTGCTTTAAAGATCCAAAGAAAAGCAATTTATTTGCAATCCTGTGTCATTTCTTTTGAAAGCGATGCATGACCATAGGTTTTTTTTTAGGTTTCCTAAATGATAAAATTGTGTTACTTTATGTAAAGTACAAAACAGATAGTATATGTTACTGTTGGGTAAAGTACTGTTTTTTATTTTTTTATTTAATCATCCCAGCATAAATCTTGAAAAAGAGTCTTTCTTAGCAGTTTTATATTTACTGAGTTATATATAGATAGTGCTCAACTTAAAACCATTTGTTCAGTGACCATTCAAAGTTACAATGGCATTGAAAAAAAACTTACGATCAGTTTTCACACGGCCATTGCAGCATCCCCATGGTCATGTGATCAAAATTTGGATACTTGGCAGCAAATTTTGCTTATGACAGTTGCACTATCCCAGGATAGTACTAGCACTTCAACTTACATACCACTGCAACATGTGATCATCAGATCATTGTTTGTAACCTTCCCAGCTGGCTTCCAACAAGCAAAGACAATGAGGGAAGCAAGAATCATTTAACGACTGAATGTTTCACTTAATAACCAGTGATTTGCTTAACAACTATGGCAAACATTTGAAAAATCGGACATGACTTACTTAAAACCACCTTGCCTAACAATGGAAATTCTAGTGGTTGTAAGAAGAAAATTACCTACATAGCTAAATTTTGTTTAAATGGATATTTTTATTATTATTATTATTATTATTATTATTATTATATTAAATTGCCAGCTATGACACCTTATGACTACTCTAGGTGAATTACAACAATAAAAACACAAAGAAATAAAAAGAAAGTTTAAGCAAAATGAAAGTAAAATAGTGGAATAATAAATGAAAAGAAAATGAAAATATATCAATATAGTTAATAAAAAAGGTGATTAGGAAGCAGAGAATGGAGGGAGGGGTGAGGGAGCCCGTTGTCACATGCCCATAACTGCATTGATTAATTGAACGACTGCAGTGTTTGCTTAAGGATTGCTTCAAAAAGATTATAAAAGTTAGGTCAGTTGTGTGGGTGCCTCAATTTAAAAACCATAATGATGGTAATTCTGGGTTTCATTGCAGTCTTAAGTTGAGGACTATATCTGTATTCTAGAAATAGCTTGGAATGTGTTACATGTAATATGCCCCCTGCTTTAAAAAAAGTGACTGTCAGGTATGTTGACAAAGCATATTCTGCCCCTTGATTATTTAATATAGCGAGGCCTGGTAGGCAATATAGCAGACCCTGCTCTCAAACAATCTTCTGTCAGGATACTTTCTGTTACTAAAACCCAGACCTCAAATATTTTATAGTAGACAGGTCTTGAATCCAACCTGTTTGCTAGACTGCTTTTCTCCTTTGATTTCTGTATTCTGAGTTGTTTAATCAATGGAGAAATTACACTTTATTGTTTGCAGCTTACTTTCTGGTGACATGGTTCAGAAAATACTGTAATCATATATGTATGTTATAAATACACACATTGATGTCTGCTCCAAAGTAACTTCATTTGGATTCTCACCTCTATAAGGCTGTATAGAATCACGGGATTTAAGTTAACACATCATTTTATTAAGTTAGACTTTATGTAAATACTATCTTGCTTTGTTTTTGAATTTCAGATAGTAATTTTAGATATTTAGACAAAATGTAAACTTTATTAACATATTTACAGAGTTCCTCAAGCCTTACCAGTGTCTGTACCAGGAGGCTATTAAGAATCAGTCTGTTTACTACAGACTGTTGCACTTTACTACTAACATTTGAAAATAATGTATTACAGAAGATAGATTGATATTATTTATATTAAATTCATTCTGCTTGAAAGTTCCCTGAATATATCTGCCATCTTAAATAGGAGAAGTAATTGAGAAGAGTTTTATGTGCATACAATAGAGAACAGTGCTATATACTAAACAGCTGCTATGCTGTAGGGGTTAAGGCATGGGATTGTCAGTGGGAAGACCTTGGTTCTAGTCAAGTCTGACCCATGATGTATTGCGTGTTTTTGGATTAGTCTCACTCTCAACCTAATCTATCTCAAAGGATTGTTATTGCAGGGTGGTGATGGAGGTGAAAGAGTTACATGTTGAATTCCTGAAGGCAAAATGGGTTAGAATGTAGTATTACATGCTAACTCTGCCCACAGTTTGAAGTTCAATCCCGACTGGCTTTAGGTTGACTCAGCCTTCCATCCTTCCCAGGTCGGTGAAATGAGGACCCAAATTGTTGGGTGTAATGTGCTGGCATTTGTAAACTGCTCAGAGTGCTGTAAAGAACTATGGAGCAGTATATAAGTGTACGTGATATTGCTATTATTAATTATAAAGATAATTCTTTATAGGAAAAAGGAGAGACAGAATCAGTTTTGCATTCTGCTTGGAACTTTGCCATTTCTACTGTTACTAATAGCTTTGGGATAAAAAATAGCAGTCATTTGCAAGTAAGAATATATGAGATCTATTTTGAATTAGTTTTTTATATGGGAGTTATGGTCCTGATTACATTTAGTTGGTAATTAGATTGCTGAATTTCTACTAATGGTGTTTTGGAAAAACAATTAGTTTCATTCATATTTAATACAATTTTGCAGTGTTTCATATCTTACATGAAATACCTTTAACAAAACTTTAGAAACTGGAACAACTCAATCAGTATCCAGACTTCAATAACTACCTGATATTTGTTCTTACAAAGTTAAAAACTGAAGGTGAGTTTTATGTTACTTATACCCAGTAATTGCATAACTAGAAAAATTAGGCCAGAATTCCAAAGGTCTCTATTTATTTTATTCACCAAGATTTCATTGATTGTTCAGTTCACGAGACTAAAATATTTTTCTTTATTCTGTGAACAAGAACAATTGATCAGAAATAAATGGAATTCATTTTCAAATAAATCTGTTTTGAATAATATAATACATATATTGGACAGTACCAACCTGAATTCTAATAATTGTTAAAATTGTGCTAAAATATCCTTCCATGATCAGGTGTTCTGAAACCCTGGATGTAATCCAAAACCATATTATTCCTGTTATATAAGAAAGTAGATTCTAATGGATATGGTTTATGATGATGATGGAATTAATTATACAGTTGTAGCCTGAGTCCAAATCTTGAAACGTTTTCCAAAATAAGTCTATTTTGTTCAGGGTGTCTAAAATAACAGTTTAATTATTTATTTATATTTATATTTATATATATATATATATATATATATATATATATATATATA